CCTTATAAACTTGTTAACATTGCACAGCCAATAAAAGACAGAATGGAAATTAAATATGTAAAGGTAAAAGCTTTATTATGATATTAGCCTCAACACCACCATCATCAACCTATCCCATGATATCTGTAGCAGACTAGGCTATAAAAAATGAGATCTTGGGTACCTCCAAAGATAATTGCCTCCCCTTGGAAGGAATCCAGAACAAGCCCACATTAAGCTAAATTCTGCACTAGAGTGGGCTGTTATACAGTTGGGAGGATTTATTCCAAGCACCTACAAGGCACATGAAAGATGAATAGATAGAATTTGTCAGATTTCTCTCTACCTTTAAACATATCCCAATGCAATGAAGGGAAAAGAGGACAGTCATCTTGTCTATACACAAAAGTAATTAAAACATTACAATTAGTACATTTGACTGTCAGTCGCTAGATAACTAAACACAGAGTGAAAGATGGATCAGCAGACACATCCACAATATATGACCTGCAAAGCTAATGAATAATCAAAATTAAAGGGATTTCAGTGTAAACTAATGATGCTACATTGAATGGGTAAAATGAAATGGTAGAGTTTACACAAGTTGAATTCTATGAAACTCCTTAATAAAACTTATTCACTCATTATATCTCCCCAGTCCATTTAATTACTAAAAATATAGATTTGCAGTATTTCAGAGATAAATTAATAACAAATTTCAATGACTTATGATCATATATGTATAATCATTTAAAGACAATCATAGAAATAATTTCATAGCAACGTAATAGATTATTTAATAGGTCATAGAAAAATATTATATGAGCATATTTATATTACTATAAAAACATAATCATTATTTTTTCAAAAACCTAAATTAAGGGGCCTCCCTGGTGGTGCAAGGGGTTAAGCACCGCACTGCACTATGAAGCTGCAAAGCACTATGAAGTAATCCCCAGCCTCTGCAGCACGAGTTCGATCTCCGGCTGACCAAAGAGAAACCCACATGGTGAAGCAGACCTCTCCTGACTCAAGCCTGCTCCCCTCAGCAGTGTACTTCGGTCAATCTGCCTGTTCTATTCCCCACTCTGTCTCTGGTGAATGCTCTCACGCCCGCATCTCTGGCCTGTACCCCAGCTCTTGTATGCATAAATATTTAAATCTTAAAAAAAAAAAAAACCTAAGTTTAGTGCTCTAAATTTTTAACAACAGAAATCTTATGTGAGTCAAATAACTTTTAACTTTGGTTTTCATAATTGCCATCGAATCAGATATTTAAAGTATGTTGTGATTTTTCTTTTGATCTAGTTTCAAAAGTGATTGTTAGGAATACATTCTGTTCATTAATAATTTTAGAAATAGTCATAGAAATTGAAAGAATTAAAAATACTAATTGTACCCAGAGATTCAATATACAAATCAATATCTGGAAGACTGGATAAAGTCAAACAACAGTAGAGCAGATTCTTTCATAGCAAGACTATTCATGGAAAATCACCCAGGTATACCATCTGATGACTAGGGAAATTCATCCAAAGCCATTAGAAAGTCGAGTTTCACATCTCAGCACTGTGCTACCTCCTACATGACAAATCACATTCCTCCCATGCTATGTAGGAATGAAATCAAAAAGAAAGCAAGACCTCACCGCCCCCAACTACTTATCAGCAATTCTCCTTTTACTTCTTGACATACTTCAGAGTATATCTCAGGTCTGATCAAAGACCTGGGAATACATTCTTTGAACGGACATTTCCCCCTCTTATTTTTCATATCCCCTGCATTAAGCCTTCTGACTCAAACCTGGGCAACCAGTGAGGCAAGGGAGACAATAGATTAACAAAACAGATAAAAAGGCAGGTATTTTAATTACAAAGGAGACTCTATATTTTAAAATGGATCATTTTGTGCATATACTCCCAGTTAACTAGTCATCATTTCTCTAGTTGTGATTGTTTTAATTCACATAACTTTTCAAAATCACAATTGAAGTTCAATTGGAAATTTTAGGCCCCTTGCAATTGAGATGAAATCTGGAGTCAGAAAGACCTGGGTTTCAAAAATTCCCTATTTCACCTGAAAATTTACTTAGTAACTGTGAGCCTCTCAGTTGAGATCTATAACTAAAGATGACAATACTTACATCCTGGGATCAGTGTGAGAATTCAGATGCTCACCTTGGCCCTGACACATACAGGGTAGTTATTATCATGATTCCTTCTAATCACCGTTCATTACAACTAAAGTACAGAAGCCTGTGGCAGTAGAGGCTTGCAGTCTCAATCACCTGTCACTAACCTCTGATTATCTGATAAATATTTCCTCTTCATCTAAAATTATCACTTTCCTCTAAAGGTTTTCCTCTATTTCCACCAAAAATCTAAGACCAGGCCAGAGCTGCATTGCTAATTTTTGATTAATTATTCACACTAAGTAATGAATATGGTTCAACTCTGTGCCTGTGAACTCTTGCCTTTCTCAATGCCCAAAATAATCTACAATTGACATGTTTCCAATGTGCTATCTTAAAGAAAAATTAATGACACATAGTTTATACTAAATATGAGGAACTATTTACTGGGATCATTTTAACCCCTTCATACATTCTATGTATAACAGTTCTCTATAAAGAAGTATAGGTAACCAAGTGGATAGCTGAAAAGAACCATAACTTACAGGGAGTTGGGGGGAGGTAGGGAAGGCATACTATGACTAAAAGTAAATAAATAAAGCTGCCCAGGATAAACCAATGTGCAGTCAGAGCTGAGAACAATGCCCTGAGTAAAAATGGCAAATTCAAAGAAGATTTTTTATTGCTAAATCATGTCCATATATTTCAAATCCCTCTTCAAAATTTATTCCATGTACTTTTCAGTAAGCATATTATATTTACTATATTCTATTGCATATTAGTGCATGTCATCTAGTATGCTTTTTACTTAAAAAAGATCTTATCTGGCTTTAATTTAAAACACAATAACCTATTAATGATATATTGTTTTTATGCATTTTGATGGATGTTGCACTTTTTCAATGCCAAAAATATCCTCAAAAGAAAAATGCAAATTGCACAAAAACAGTATCTTGTCCCTTTGTGTCATATAGTGCCTGTCACCTAGTGCATAAACATTAGTTGAAGAGAAATGCCTCTCCTTTTGAAACTTGTAATCAATCAATAAAAGCAAAGCCATTTTATTTAAAAATCACACAAAAATGACATATCCCAAAGATTTTGTTTGTGTGGGGATTAAATTTGAGCTGCATGACCCTAAGTAAGACACTTCATTCTCCTGTGCCTCAGTTTCCCCTCTGTAACATAGGCGGACTGCTATCACTAATTACTAGTATTAAGAAAATGTAAGGTCCTGCATGGGCAAATGGCCTACAAAATTTCCTGGCATGTTGGCTGTTTTTATTAAAACCTGGAGTGATACTGAGGAAGGCATTGAAGCTCATGAAGTAGATAACAGTTGGGGCCACACAGCCAGTCTGAACAGTCACGTGTCAAGCAAAGCCAGAACTAAACAGCCACGTTTCAACTCAATCTATGAAAAAAGCTCTCCCTGCTGCATCAAGCTGCCTGCTCATCCCTTTATATATACTTTCTAAAACTACTTGCTAGAAAACAAAGGAGATGGGCTGGCTCACTCTCTCTTGCAGGATTCGGAGAGGCTTGCTGGAAATAACAAGAAAGCCTTGAACCGTGCCATGCAAAGCAGTTAATATAACTGCTGTAACCCTGAGTTTAGCAGACTTATTCAACTGAAAAATAATGTTCTTGAGCCTTTGTGAGCACACAGATTCAGAGAAATGGGAATCTAATACAATAATTCTTGAAGTGTCTTCAGGATGAATATAATATTCAGTGTCATCAAGTGCTCGCTTCCTCCCCCGGTCTCACCTCCCTCCGCGCCTAGCATTCCCCACAGCTGGTGCTGGGAACTGCAAATGGCTCGGAGCGAGCGCGGGCGGGGGCGGCCACTCTGCGGTAGCCAGCCGAGGGGCCAGAGCCGGGAAGCAGGTGCAGGCGCGGCGAGGCTGGGCGCCGGCGAAGGGCTTAATTGGTAGCACAGTGCCCGAATCTGTCAAGTCTGACCTCACCTGGAGACCAGGATCAGGAAGGCCAGTAACCAGCAGTGACCCCTGAGCACAACCAGATGTGCCTGGAGCCTCAGGTGAGTCCCCCTGCACTGTTCCCCATCCCGGCCCCAGGTCCAGCAGATCGGCTGGGGCGCGACTCCAAGGAACCCCGTGGGTACACTTCTAGCCTCACCTGGGCGCGGTGCTCAGCTTCTCCCCTTACCGAGGCGTGGTTACTATTTAAACTCCTGCCCCAGCCCACGCCTGTTCTATTCCTTGTCTTTTTGCCTTCCCTCCTCCTAAAAAGAGAGCTCCGCTGTGTGCCTGCGAACAAGCCTAGAACACCTGTTCTCTGAGGAACTTGTAAGAACAGAAAGGGCTAACCTGAACGGTGCAAAGTGCCTCAACGCGCCCTAGAAGCTGGCATCGGTCACCCCTAGTTCTAAGGGACTCGTTGGGATTTCAAATAAAAGTCATTATTCTGTATCCTATTTCTCAACCAGGAAACCTGAGAAAGAAGGGAGAAGAAAATGGACCGTGAGTGACGTGAGTGACCGAGTAAAATGAGAATAGCTGGTAGCAAATGATGCGGGTTCCCTCACCAAGAACACCCTCCCCCCAGGGCTCATACCCCCATCGAACGCTCCCGGAAAGGCCTATGAAGTCGCAGTGAAAGAAGAGGGAGGAATATATATAGCTCTCTCCTCAGGTTGGAAGGAACGCATCCCAGTCACCATCTCCTCTGCTTTCTGAACTTTTCGTTTTCATCTCTGCGGGTAGGAGCGAGTCTCGCCATCCCCCGAGCTTGCACTAAGAGTCAACTCGTCCTCCGCCACCATCCCTGCTCCCGGCACCCGCCCCACCTCCAAAGAGGGGGGCTTTCTCTCCGTTCCTCTCCGGGGCTGGAGATCTGGATCACAAAGTTGGGGTGGGGGCTCGTGGGCCCGGAGAAGGGTCTCGGTTCCTGGCAGTGCGCCCCGGGACCATCCTTGACCTGGACCACATCTGACCATTTTCCTGGGCGCGACCGTTCCTCCCCGCCCAGCCCCGCGCCCCGACACTTGTGCGCTGCTACGGTGCCCTCGCCGTTCCCCAGCCACAGAGGGGGAGCGCGCACCGGGGGTGGAGAGAGAAGGGGTGCGCCGCTGCAAGGCACCCACCTTGGGAGCCCGGGAAATCCCGGCTGCCACCAGGGGCCGCGCCACCCCGCTCACGGGACCGAGGCTTCCGGCGCGCCCCCAACTTTGTGGAGACCTCAAGGCAGCAGCGGACAGGATGGAGCTGCCTCCCCGAGGTCGGGCGCCGCCCGACTCGCCGCTGGACAGCTGCTCCCTGACCTCGCTAGACTCCAGCGTCTTTTGCAGCGAAGGCGAAGGGGAAGCCCTGGCCCTAGGGGACTGCTTCACCGTCAACGTGGGTGGCAGCCGCTTCGTGCTCTCGCAGCAGGCGCTGTCCTGCTTCCCGCACACGCGCCTTGGCAAGCTGGCGGTGGTGGTGGCCTCGTGCCGTCGCCGAGGGGCCCTGGCCGCGGTGCCCAGCCCCTTGGAGTTCTGTGACGACGCCAACCCGGTGGACAACGAGTACTTCTTCGACCGCAGCTCCCAGGCTTTTCGCTATGTCCTGCACTACTACCGCACAGGCCGCCTGCACGTCATGGAACAGCTGTGCGCGCTCTCCTTCCTGCAGGAGATCCAGTACTGGGGCATCGACGAACTCAGCATTGACTCCTGCTGCAGGGACAGGTACTGGGAAGCGCAGAAGGCTGGGTTGGAAAGGTGGGGGCAGTAGGACAGAGAAGCAGAGGTAGAGACTGGAGGCTTTATAGGAGCCTAGTTCAACCAGTTCTGGGCTAGACGGTAAACAGGGTGGGGGCTGGAAAGTGCCCAGGCTAACTTTTCAGTGGAACCTTTTGAACTTTCTGAGCTTTGCATTGTCTGTTGTTTATCTATTTATTTCTTGAGTGAGTGAGTGAGTGAGCCAGTGAGTGAGCCAGCGAGCGAGCCAGTGTCTATTCATGTCTAACGCACAGAGATCAGGTCTGCAATAAACATTTGGTGACTGACTCTATAATTAAAAAAGCTCTGCTCCAAATGATGCATGTAGAGGGAGGCAGGTTTCAGAATGAGGTGTTATCATTTATCAAACCTAGGCCACTAACTTTAAAAGCTTGGATGGAGGGCGCTTTAAATGCCAAAGATAGAAAGTTGGTTCCTTGACCAAATGATGGTGGGACTTTGATGATGACTTTGCTATTATCTTGCTTTTATGCCATTTCTTCATAAATACCTTCCCTTCACACACAAAAAGTTTCCATATGGCAAACTTATGTTCTTCTTATGAGAAAATTGGTAACAGAATGCATCAGATTTGCTGGGTAAAAATCGTTTTTTATATAAACTTCCACCAAGCAATGGTCGTTTTAAAGTCATAATTTCAAGTGAGACATTTTTGAATACTGTGGGCAGGAGACAGTCTAGGTAAATTACGAATGGACATTTTTCTGTATTTTACCAAAATAAAACACATGACCTCACTGCCCAGTTTAATTCTTTTATATTTTAAACAATAAAAAGTTAAACTAATCATCAGGTTGTCTTGTCTAAAAGATACTTCAGAAGAAAGGAGCTGAGCGAAACTTTAGACTTTAAGAAGGACACCGAAGACCAGGAAAGTCAACACGAGAGTGAGCAGGACTTCTCAGAAGGACCTTGTCCCACTGTCCGCCAGAAGCTCTGGAACATTCTGGAGAAACCTGGGTCTTCCACGGCTGCCCGAATCTTTGGAGTCATCTCCATCATCTTTGTGGTGGTGTCCATTGTCAACATGGCCCTGATGTCATCTGAGTTAAGCTGGCTGGACCTGCAGCTGCTGGAAATCCTGGAGTATGTGTGCATTAGCTGGTTCACCGGGGAGTTTGTCCTGCGCTTCTTCTGCGTTCGGGACAGGTGCCGCTTCCTGAGAAAAGTGCCAAACATCATAGACCTCCTTGCCATCTTGCCCTTCTACATCACTCTTCTGGTAGAGAGCCTGAGTGGGAGCCAGACGACTCAGGAGCTGGAAAACGTGGGCCGTATCGTCCAGGTGTTGAGGCTGCTCAGGGCTCTGCGCATGCTCAAGCTGGGCAGACATTCCACAGGTATTCTGATTTCGCTGATGCCCCTTAATTTGCCATTCTTTGTAAGAATAGTGCTCTGATCACAGTCCAAGGGAAGTGACTGAATTTTACTCAAAATTTACAACTCCCATTAATCTCAAAATAGATATAGGGAAGCCAAACAGAGTTTTTATCCCAGGTGTAAAGAGGTCTCTCACATACTTTATCTCCATAAGACATTTGATAGACAATTTGATCATAGAACAAACTAAAATTATTTTAGTGCAGTGCCCAGAAGATTTACAAAAATTAAAGATATTCTTCTTCTAGAAGGTTCTAGATAAAATATGCATAAACCACATATGAAAGATGCACAGAAGTTGCATATGCTATATAGGGACATCAGTCAGTTTCTCTTCTGTGTCCAAGGAAGTGCTTGCTTACTACACACGTTCTTTGGCAGAAGAGAATGTCAGTCCTCCCAAGAGAGATGACCAGATGCTGGTAGCCTGCTCATAATTTTTGAAGAAACAATGGAAATATTTGCCTTGGAAGAAAAAAGAAGACACTAACTAAATGCTTTTTCTAGCATCTGAGAATTTCTTGTCCCTAATCTGGAATTCAGGAAAGAGAAGGTAATAAGAATACTTTAGATTTATGGATGCATAAAGCCTCAAAAATCTAATGAATATTCTCTCTCTCTCTCTCTTATATACACACAACTGAACTTGAATGTTACAGTCAATATCAAAGAAAATCACACAAATCCATTCATCCTTGCATCCTCCAGAGCAGTGATTCTCAGTGACTGGCCTTGTGGCTATTGAAAATTCTGGAAAAAAAAAAATATATATATATGTATATACATATATATAGCCTTGTTTTAGTATTTAATGAAAATAAGAATCCCTCAAAATAAGATTGTGAAAATGTAAATTGTGAGCCTCAATCCCTAGAGAGTCAGATACTTATTTACTTGTAGGAGTGGGATCCTGGGGCATACATTTTAATAAGCTCACTAGAGAAGAGTACCATATTAATATAATAAGTACAAACACAAGGCATAGGACTACAAATCATTTGGGTAAAGTGTCCTATACCCACCTTATTTCCCCAGATACGTGCCTGAATGGTCATCTAGAGGAGGTTGATAGTAGCTGTCCTTATAAATGCAGGGAGAAGTTAACCTCAGATATATTTTTTTCACATCTCTGAGGTAATTAGGACTTATCCAAATATAATTTTGGTAGTGTATTTTCCTAGCTACTCTCACATTCCAGGGATTTGATAATGGGGTTTCCAACAACTTTTAGAAGTACAACTCTTTGTTTCCTGACACATATAATGGGATGCTTTCTTCTAGTATTTATAAACTCTTCACAGGATTCAATTTAAAAACACCCAGTAAAGACTACATTATTTCCCAAAAGAAAGGAAAAAGAAAATAATAGTAATTTCCACAATGCCACCTCTTCAAAGGTTCTCTCAGTTCTAAAGCAGTACAGTGTATTAATAAAGCTTTAATTTATGAAAAAGATATCAATACTTGCATAAATATTTAACAATTTTATCTTAAGCATTACTTTTAGCAAAATATACAAATAAATTACATCCCCCCATGCATTAACTATAAATTAAACTTGAGAGGTATTCTAGAGTAGTGTGCAGGAGGACAATGCATTCTCCTGGTGAAAATCCTTTACTTCCTCTGACTTTCAGGCAATGATACTACCAATTATTTTAACTTCATTAGGAGAGTGAGAAAGAAAGGACACGTACAACATAATAAGACAGAAAACAATGGCATACGAAAACTGTGAAGTAAGGCATTGAAATGCTGCTCTGAATATGTGAAGCTTCCACATGCAATCCTGCAAATACTATATATATAGCCCCATATGCTGTACAGATAGCCCATATATACTTTAAAGTACAGCCCACAGTCTATATATCGCAGTCTATACAAATATCCCATTGTGTAGACTAATGTACAAATTTCTATCATATGTTGTCTCCTTTTAGCTCATCTCTTAACTTTATTTTATACACATGATAGCATTAATAAATATATGAGAGAATTAATACATAAAATTGTATCTTCCCATCCTCTTCAGTTGGCCCCATCAACCAGACTATGAGTAATCTGAAGACACAAAGATGATAGCTCATCATCTTTGTATCCCCAGAGCATTTTCCACTGCTGAGGACAAAAAAAAGATGAGCAAGGCATGTTAGTGGGTGTCTGGCAGGGAGGCAGAGGGGAAGTGAGGAAAGAGGAGCAGGAGGGCAGAGAAGTCCATGACTGACAGTGGTTGTTCTATTACAGGGTTACGCTCCCTCGGGATGACAATCACCCAGTGTTATGAAGAAGTCGGCCTACTGCTCCTATTTCTGTCGGTGGGAATTTCTATATTTTCAACTGTGGAATATTTTGCTGAGCAAAGCATTCCCGACACAACCTTCACAAGTGTCCCTTGTGCATGGTGGTGGGCCACAACCTCCATGACTACCGTGGGGTATGGGGACATTAGACCAGACACCACCACAGGCAAAATCGTGGCCTTCATGTGTATATTATCAGGAATCCTTGTCTTGGCATTGCCTATTGCTATTATTAACGATCGTTTTTCTGCTTGCTATTTCACCTTAAAGCTCAAGGAAGCAGCTGTTAGACAGCGTGAAGCCCTAAAGAAGCTCACCAAGAATATAGCCACTGACTCATATATCAGTGTTAACTTGAGAGATGTCTATGCCCGGAGCATCATGGAGATGCTGCGATTAAAAGGGAGAGAAAGAGCAAGTACGAGAAGCAGTGGAGGAGATGATTTCTGGTTTTGAATTTACCTACATTTTATTTACAAAAGCTTGTGTAAAACTAATATGATTGATCAAGCCTTGATATGGATGTTTGTATACTGCTGATGAGTCTCTTTTGAGTACTACCTGTCTTCATGTTTGCTGATACACTGCTTAGTCTATTAGAATAGTTTGTGCCCGCCCCCAAACAATTACACATTGTTTTGACACATTTGAGAGTCTAATAGTCAAACAGTTAACACAAACCAATGCAAATGGGCCAACAGATGCATGCCTGAATTGTTGAATATGAAAATATCCCCTTGCAATACTACAACAAAGTTACAAGTTTTATGTATCTCCAATTTTAAACTCTTTTACTTGAACCCTAATTTCTTTAAAAATTGAAATTAAATTGTGTAGCCTAGAGAAATGATGAGTGAACATTTAAGAATGCACTCACCAACTTTGCTATATAAATATATCCTTCAAGTACATAAATCATTTGTTCCATCAGTTAAGTGTAGACTACAATAAAAATCTTCACAAGAGAAAACCCTCCTTTTACATGGTCATAGATTGTTTCTCTATCTGCCCTCCAGCACAACCCACATCACAAATGGACTGAGTTATATATCCCATTGTTACTATTGGAGTTGAACAACTAAAAACTACTTAGAATGGAGGATAGGGGTGTCACACAAAGGCTTCGAGAATATGCATATCTTCATTCTCCCCAGTGAGTGCAAAATGTGGAATAAAGAAGATATTTCTTCATAATCCATGAAATTCAGGTCATACTATAAAAACCCTATTGATTTTTTTTGTTCAAGCTATATTTCTCAAATCATTGTGCTCGCTTCAGCAGCACATATATTTTTCAAATCATGAATATGTAGTAGTGAAGTAGTAAACATCCTAAATTTCTACACTGAAATGACTAAATAGTCTTATTTCATAAAATGAGACTAGTGTGTTGAATGCCATCTCTGGAAGAACTTGAAGACCTTTTATTTGTTAAGAAAAAGGCAGTATGGATAGTTTTCTGACTATTGGGATAAATAGCAAGTGTTCAACATGCACGTGTTTTGACAGTCATTTATGGTAATAATGAAATCCTAGCCATGCTGTTATACATTTAAAGTCAAAATTACCTTAAGATTCCCAAGACTCCAGAAAAAGAGATTTGTATAAATAAGTATAATGTGTATCACTTTTAATACCTACATTCTCAATGGGATGAAATCTGGTTTTTGGCAACCAAAGAGATCTTATTCTTTTTACTATAAAATACAAAAATACATGTGGTACATAAGGAGATATACAGTATACCCATGGTGTTAAGGTTTCATGAAGTAGGAAATAAGGAAAAAATACCTAAGATACTTCTTGACAGGACTGGGTTGTGATAAGAAATAAATGCTGAGAAATACTGTTTTAATATGTTGCTATACTATATTTCATCAAATCTTTTAAAGATTCCCCATATTATTATGAACAGAAAGTAAGAAAGGGAGGGAGGGAGGGAGGGAGAGATAGAGGGCAAGAGAGAACGAAAGAAGCCAAGAATTATAAAATTATGTAAAATGCATCTAGACCTTGAATATGTAAAAATTTTAAAAATACATCTTTCAGTCAATGAAATATCATAAATACTACCCCCCATTTTTCTGGCACGCATGCTTAACTCAGAAAACATTTTCATTAATGACAGATTGTATACTAAAGCACTTTAATCCACTTGGCCTTTTTCCACTTCTCCCAGATACGAAAGATTTAGGAGATATGAGTAGTAATAAAATCAAGATTTTCCCTTTTACACAATTCATGGATGCTAGAAAATGGCATAGGAACACTAGATGTAATATAAATCCCAACCACAGTTTAAAGGAGAAAAAGAGATTAGACCCAGAAAATAAAACCACCCTGTCTTCTCTAGCACTCTCCCCAATAAAAATAGTAACTCTGACCCAGTGCTGTGCTGTGTACTAATCATGCATTATGTCAGTTTATCTGCAAAATACCCCTTACACCATTACTATTCTTATATTCATCTAAGGATACATCTCATGCATTGATTTATTCTACATATACTTATCCAGGGCCCATCTAGTACTAGAGATTTTGTTAAGCCAGACCCAGTCTTAGTTTAATGTTCTGTTCAGCATGTGAAAGCAACAAAAGTGAGGCATTAAGAGATTAAATAACTTGCCCAAATTTCCTCAGCCCAGACACAGGTGGCAGAGGCAGGAATGAAGCCTGATCTGTTGGACCCTAAAACAATACTCCTGAAAGTCATAGCACAGATGTCATTATTCCCACCAACTGTAATCAGGATTCACTTCCTAGGCAGGCAAGTCAATTTCTTGTGGATGGAGAGATTTCATATGCCTTAAGAAAAATATCAGCTTTTTCTCAGAGGTAGAATGGTGCTTTTAAGGAACAGTTTTGTCATGCCTTATAGTCATTATTAGACAAGAAAAATATTACTTTAGAATAATAGTTGGAAAATGAAAAAAACTGTATTATATATGTTATATCTGTATAATTTTTGCTGTCACAGATGATTCTTAGTTCTCCAAAAATGTGGTGTTAGCTATATCAATAAATAAACATGAACATTTCAAAAGAAACTTTTAAATACTACTGCCTAGTCAACTTTGTTTTTATTTATATATCAGCATATTTAGTCAACACATATACACATAGCAAACCAGATTTAAGTAACAAACTCTGTTAATTTTATACCCCATCATTTTCAAAGATTTGACCATTTCCAAAAATCTAAAATATTACTATAAAACAATATTTAGCTTGTTTAGAAATATAAATGATGGAATTACTGGTTTCTTTAAAAATATGTAGAGAACACTAAAAACGTTTGAGTGTGCAAATATAATGCTTAAGTAACTAAATGAACAATTTCAACATAAATTGCTGAGGTATATCTAGTAGGAGTGGCCATGTTACATGTAAAATATATTTATGTTTTATAGTTTTTCTCCTACACATACAAGGAATGATTGCATTTATCATTTTTAATGTAAATTAGTATTAAGTATAATGTATTAAATACACAAAGACATTAACTGAAGTAGAAAGCTCAGTGTTTCAATGTGAAATTCTTATTCTCATTAAAATCTTCTAACTGGTTCCTACACAATATGTTTGCTAGCCCAAGTTATATAACAAAACATTATCGTTAGTAAGCTTACTACTTTGATGAATATTACCACTTATGCATTTTGTTAACATGAAAATCCTACTCTTTTGAAGTATTAGCCATTACTATCTCTGAAGTATTAGTGATGTGTTCTGGTGCTTCCCTTAGTGATTTTTTCTTTATTTTTTTTGCAAAGCACCTCCACTTCCAAATCTTTCTCTAAGCCACACTAATTTATGGTAAAAATTGTCACATAAGGAGAGCTTTATTCTTAAACTATATTGGCAATGGCTTACATGGTATGACTTTAGGGGTAATGAGATTACCTAAGTATGTATCATCTTCATGTTCCCACTTGTCTTATAATCACTTTCTTGCTTATCTCCTCAAGCCCATTGTTCCTCTCTCTCTTCCTGGTATTCAACTGGTAAGATCCAAACCCTAACTAAACCCAATCCAGTGACTATTTGTGCCTGCCCTTTAGAACTGATCTTGATTTCAGAAAAAACCATGTGTGCTGACGGCTCTCATTCTACATTCATGCCTACAGCCCCAAATGGGTTCTTGATGCTGTAACTTTGAATCTATTCATTCTCCTTAAATAAATAGAAACCTCTAACACCTCCCTTTGGTTCCGCTTTGACTCAGAAAAAAATAGAATCACTTAGAAGAGATTTTTTTCCTTTTCTTCAAGGGCCAGCACCCACATTTATCCACCTACCTCCATCTGTTCTTATTCACTCTGATTTTTCTCCTATTATAAGGATTGAACTGTCCATCTTATCCCTTCTCTCCATTTTCTGGGGAACATTGCTTCAGAAAATCTTTTCCTGCTACCTTCTCTACTGTTACCACCACTCCCCCCTCCCCACTGCATCATTTCTATCAGTGCAAAAATCATAATTAAAATTTCCCATCTCAAAAACAAAAGCAAACAAATGAATAAAACACTTCTTGAATCTAAATAATCCTCCAGGAAATTTCTTGCTCACTTTTACAGCAAAACAACTTGGCAAAATTTTCTATACTCACTTTCCATTTATATCTTTATTTTCACCTTTTCTTTCTTGAATATCCACTCAAGTTGGGCTCCCACTAACCCCTGTCTCTCCTCTAAAAATGTTGTTCTCCAACTCAGCAATTATCCCATCATTGCTAAATCCAATTATCAGTTCTCAGACTTCATATCCCTTGACCCATCACCATGTTACAAGGTAATCATAAACTTCTCCTTGAAACATTTCTGCACTTGACTTCCAGTCCATCATACTCTCCTGATTTCCCCCTATCTACCATTCAGTCATCTTTTCTGGTTAAGGTAATCAATAAGGGTAAACCCAACCTCTTCTTACCTCTACTTGTATTTCTCCCTTGGTAAACTTGCTCTATTTTACAGTTTAAATACTATTGATAGTTGGTCATTTTCCAAATTTCTGACTCCAGAATAGACCTCTCCTCTCACTTCCTTCATCTTCAGAATTCTGTGTCTAACTGCCCATTCAGTGTCTATATCTAGGTGGCCAATAAATAACCCTTAAGTAGTATACCCAACATCAAATGGTTGCTATTTACCCCAACTTCAATTTTAGTTCAATTTCTCTGCAAAGCAGATGGCAAGACTGGTGAATTTTATAATATCAATGATGTGCAAGACATGTACTGGGGTGGAGCGGAAGGGAATGATTGTGAAGGGTAGAAGAGGGATCTAGAAAAGGTGGGAAGACACTTCAGACTATGATACAGACCTGACAATAAGCACAAGTTGTTGGTGGATGAACTAGAGCATTCATCACTGCAGTTGGTGTCAGCCCCACATCTTACCACATTATTTCCTGCCCTATAACTTAGTATTCTAAAAAAGTTATAAAAAGAATTCTGTTTATGTTGTGCTCAGAGAAAACTCTATATCCTAGAAAATACTTTTCTCATTATTGCATACCAAAGTGCATCACAA